CACCACACTCCTGATGTATGTATGTATGTATGTATATCATCATTTCATTTCATGCATTTTGATTTGATTTGATTTCACTCAGCAGTGCATTGAGCATTTCACTAAGATCACTTACGGCTTGAAAATACATTTTTAGCATATTCATATCTATCTGATGAGGCACGTGTGTATATATTACATATGTTTGTATGTATATTTATATTTGTGTTTGTATGTATGTATATATTTAAGCAGTCACCACGTTGTTTATTTATTTATCAGTAATTTCTGCGGCTACTCGCTGCTTATTTAGTATAAATGCTTTATTTTTTTCACAATTTCATTTGCATTTTTTACAAAATAACATTTCACAATTTCATTACCACACTTGAGCATTGACTTTTAGGCGAACTTAGTCACTGACCGTCAGCACGTTACTTAAGCGCTCGCCAAACACCTGGCTTTGTGGCATATTTAGCAAAGACTTGTGCGAGCAATTTTTCAACTACACACACGCACACATATGCATAGATACATACATGCAATTATACATGTTAAATGCATTTGAATGTTGTACGTTTGTATGTATGTATATACATATGTATTTGTGTGCATTATAGAGTAGTTACTGCCTATTTGGAGACAACACGTTGGTTGCTATAGCGATTTGTGTGTCGGCGCACAACGAAAAATTGCCAACAACCAATTAATTGCGACAAGTGGGGTGAGCGGTGCTTGTGTATACATAAACATATGTACATAGTATATATGTATGTATGCATATGCATAACTAACGTGTCATATGCCTATGTACTTGTTCAAATACGTTAAGCTATTAGCCGGTTATATAGTGTTATTTACTGCACCTACAAAATTCGAATTTGTTTGTATTGAGGAACTTGTGCTTGTTTCTAAAAATACAATGCGACATCAAATGCAACATTCAATAAAAACTAGCAGCAACAACAACAATATTGTCGTAATATTTTATGCACATTTATAATTTGACGAAATTTACACTCTTGAACTCAATTAAATGTAGTTAAGCGCTAGACTGCGAAATACAAATGCTACAAAGGAAAAAAACCAACAACAACAAATATAAAAAAAAAAACGAAGGAAATGTGTAAAAACTTTGACTGCACCGAAGGAAGCTATGA